GCATTTCAAGAGGTCTTTCCACAGAAAGGTGGAAAGACCTAATAATAATAATAAACATAAGCATTTCAAGAGGTCTTTCCACAGAAAGGTGGAAAGACCTAACAAGGGACCGGCTGCGTGAGAAAACGTTAACACTGTTCCCTAATGAAAATGTATTAATGGACTGTAAGCCCGATTCATCGATATTGTGAGCATGCTGAATTTTTGTAAATAGCTTCGTTGTAAGCTTAAAAGATCGGGTTCGGATTTTAACATTTCTGGCTGAATATCCTGAAATAAATATGAAACATTTAAATAAGCATTTCTTTGGGTTAAATTAAATATGTGTAGCCCAAATTAAATTCCCAACATGCATTTTTAGAAGGGAAACACGACAATGAAAGCGAGAATTGTTTTTAATATACCGAAAATCGCTATTTCTGGAAACTGATTAATTCTAAATAAAAATCAAATAAATTCCAAATGTAAAAGAAAGAGAGAATGCTTGGTATTAAAATGTCGTATCATATCAGGAGAATTAAATGCTACTAACGACATCTGAAGAAATAGCCGATAAAAGGTTTAGATCATTTCTTCGTTCACCTGCACTTAAATTTCAAACACAACAGAACTTGTAGTTTTTGCCGTGAAACTTCATGACCTCTATAAACTTACAAGACTCACCGTAAAACTCTCCAGAAAGTTTCTCTGAGGTCTGTACTACATTTGTACCAAATCTGGTGTCGATCCGAGGTCTGGTTTGAATTCTAGAGTAATATTCTACATTGTTGTTGATGTGATTTTTTTTTTTTTTTTAAGAAGGGGGGGGGGGTGAATTATTTATTTTATGCCTCTTTCAAACTAAGAATTGTAACTACTTCCACATCCTTAAGCCTTATTGTGACCTTTGAGTCAAGGTCAAAGGTCAAGGTCAAAGGTCAAGGTCATACAAAAAAAGAAAAAAGAAAAAAAGAGAAATCTTTACTTTCTGTATTTTTACCTGATACTGGAGCCGGATGCATGTCCTAACTTTTCCATTTGACCCAATGTCAAGGTCAAAGGTCAAGGTCAAAGTTCAAGGTCATTTGGCGAATTGCTATATTTTACACATATATAAGGGATTTCTTACGTTTTTAAATGACCTTGACCTTTGACCTTGACCTATATTTCAAGGTCAAAGGTCAAGTATGCCGATGCAGTTGGTCCCATGTCTCTAGGATACACCGTTTTAAACATAAGATCATTAAATGTAAGTAGCGTAAACTTTCAGGGGCAGTAACTCATACAAGGGACCAAAGAATGCTTTCGCAATGATAGAATGAAGAGAGCACTAAATGAGTCAAAGACACTGATGAAGGTTTGGAATCTCTACGGTTTACGGTTTCGGAGGAGTAGCGATAACAAGGTTTTGTTGCAAAAGGGGTGACAACTTTTGAATGGGTCAAGCTCGGGGGACAAGAATGAAATCTTTGAAATAGTTTTAGAAGGACATATTATAGATGCAAAGATAATCAGTATATGTTGAAAGACAAAAGAGATATAAAAAGAGCTTAATTTCTCATATTTCGAATGACCTTGACCTTTGACCTTTGCATATATTTTAAGGTCTGAGGTCAATGAATCTTATGCAATGGTCCCATGTCTTTACGACTTATTGTTTTAAAAATTTTAAATTATTTCTAAAAATCAAAAACTTGGAGGGGCAATAACTCCTTGAAGGGGTTGACGAATACTTTCGCAATGAATAGATTGAAGAGTCCCCTAAATTAGTCGAGGACATTGGTGAAGGTTTCGTATCTCTATGGTTTACGGTTTCAAAGAAGTAGCGATAACAAGCTTTTATTGCGAAAGGGGATGTAACTCCTCGAGGGGTCAAAGTTCATATACGCAGGGTCAACTGCAAAAATCTTTTACGGAGTTCATTCTCATAGACTATAAATCTTTTCGATAAATCTTGAAACTCAAAATCTTGCGGCGGAAAAATAAGAAGAATAATAAGAAACAGAAGAAAACCAATAGGTCTTTCCACAGAAAGGTGGAAAGACCTAATAATAAGAAACAGTAGAATCACTATAGGTCTTCCGTTGAAAACGTAAGACCTAATAATAATAATAATAAGAAACAGAGTAAAAACAATATGTTCCCAAACTCCGTTTGGGGAACATAATAACAACAATTATGTATCTCAGTGTAGTTTACTTGTATGCCAAGTTATACTGAAATCAGACAAAAAATGTAGAAGGAGTAGCATTTTGACAGTTTTTCAAGGAAAGTTTTGTTTTTAGTAACCATGGCAACACCATTCATTGAAATCAAAAACTGATACAATGAATTATGTATCATAGTGTAGTCTACTTGTGTGCCAAGTTATAATGAAATTAGATCAAAACTGTAGTAGGAGTAGCATTTTGAAAGTATTTCACAGAAATTTCTATTTTTACTAGCCATGGCAACACCATTCATTGAAATCAAAAACTGATACACAGAAATGTGTACAGTAAAACTCGGCTATAGTGAAGTTCTAGGAACTTCCGAATTTACTTTGCTATATCCGTAATTCGTTATATCCATATAATGAATTCCTTAAAGAATATGTAGCAAATTCGTAATATAGATTTTTTTCCTTTAAGTGTGACTACCGTATTTAGTGAAGTATAAAGTATAAAAACTAACTTGGAGTTCCAAAGTTTTTTTGGTTAAATTGAGTTTCAAAAATAAAAAAACTTACAAAATTAGTTTTGTATAGTTCAATATTTTAAATTCTTAAACCTATGAAAATTCGCTATAAAAGATGTGAATTGCATAATTTTTAACGTCTAGGGGATACAAAATCAGTTCGCTATAACAGTAAATTCGAATTCAAATTCATTATATCCATTAAGTTTTACAAGGAATTGTTAAGAATTTTGCCAGGGATTGCAAAAAAACATTGCTATATCCGTAAATTCGCTATATCCGTGTTCGTACTAAACGAGTTTTACTGTATCTTATTAAAGTCTACTTGTTACGTTATATTGAAATCAGATCAAAACTGTAGGAGGAGTAGCATTTTGAAAGTTTTTCACAGAAATTTCTTTTTTTAGTAAGCATGGCAACTCCGTTCATTGAAATCAAAAACTGATACACAGAATGATGTATCTTAGTATAGTCTACTTGTGTGCCAAGTTATATTGAAATCAGATCAAAACTGTTGGAAAAGTAGCGTTTTGAAAGTATTTCCAAGAAATTTTTATTTTTAGTAAACATGGCAACACCGTTCATTGAAATCAAAAACTGATACACAGAATTATGTATCTTATTAAAGTCTACTTGTATGCCAAGTTATAATGAAATCAGATCAAAACTGTAGGAGGAGTAGCATTTTGAATGTTTTTCACAGAAATTTCTATTTTTAGTAACCAAGGCAACACCGTTCACTGAAATCAAAAACCGATATATATAATTATGTATCTTAGTATAGTCTACTTGTGTGCCAAGTTATACTGAAATCAGATCTAAACTGTAGGAGGAGTATCGTTTTGAAAGTATTCCAAAGAAATTTCTTTTTTAGTAACCATGGCAATGCCATTCATTGAAATCAAAAACCGATACACAGAATTATGTATCTTAGTGTAGTCTACTCGTGTGCCAAGTTATACTGAAATCAGATCAAAACTGTAGTAGGAGTAGCGTTTTGAAAAATTGTTTACACATGGACGGACAGCTAGACAGACAGACAGATGGATGATGGACACCTTACTATCACATAAGCTCTTCTGGTCTGACCAGTAGAGCTAAAAAAATAGGCAAAAGAATACAGTCTAGATTACTAAGATTGAATAACTCTGTAAAAGTGAGCTGCGGCATCCCTAATATACCTAAAGTTTAGCAGGTATAGTCTCATCATCAGGGTTATCAAAAGTTGAAAATCGTGCAGAAAAGATAAAAGATATTTCTAACTTCATACATTTAATATATGGAAATCTGTGCTACTATATTTGTATATTATTTGTATGACTTGTGCCACATGTGGTTTTTGTCAAAAAATAAATTATTTAAATTAAAATCATACTTTATCTTAGTAATAATAATAATATTAATGGGAAAATTAATACTGTACTGAATTAACCTATTAATCTGATATACATAATTTTCTGATTGTTTTGAGAATAAAAGCAAGTTCATATTAAAATGAGAAAGACACTGATATCTCTATACATTTTTTTTAAATAAAAAAAGGTGTTTTTAATTGAAAGTCTCTCTTTTTAGCTCACCTGAGCTGAAAGCTCAAGTGAGCTTTTCTGATCACGTGTTGTCAATCGTCCGTCCATCTGTAAACTTTTCACATTTTCATCTTATTCTCAAGAACCACGGGGCCAATTTCAACCAAAGTTGGTACAAAGCATCCTTGGGTAAAGGGGAATATATATTGTTAAAATGAAGGGCCAATTCCCCTTCCAAGTGGAGATAATCAAGAAAAGACAAAAATAGGGTGGGGTCATTAAAAAATCTTCTTCTCAAGAACCACTGGGCAAGAAATGCTGAAACTTATGTGGAAGCATCCTGGGGTAGCATAGATTCTAAATTGTTCAAATCATGCCCCTGGGGAGTAGGTGGGGCCACAATAGGTAATCCAAGTTTTACATTGAAATATAATGGAAAAATCTTTAAAAATCTTCTCAAGAACCACAGGGCCAGAAAAGCTGAAACTTATGTGGAAACATTCAGGGGTAGAGTAGATTCTTAATTGTTCCAGTCATGGTCCTTGGTGGTAGGGTGGGGCCACAATAGGGAATCTAAGTTTTACATTGAAACTTACAGAAAAAAAATTTTTTAGTCGTCTTCTCAAGAACCTTAGGACCAGAAAAGCTGAAACTTATGTGAAAGCTTCCTGAGGTAGGGTAGATTCTAAATTGTTCAAATCATGGCCCCCTAGGGTAGTGTGGGGCCACAATGAGTATTACAAGTGGAAATCTGGTGAAAGCAGGGCCAAAGTTACTCAGGTGAGCTTTGTGGCCCATGGCCTCTTGTTTTATTTGCAGAAAACGATGACAGGATGTATGTAGATGGAAATGGTCAGCTGAGAGTGCGCAAACTGGAGTATGATGAACTATACCCAGGACACATTCCAACAACTAATCTACAGAAAGTGCTTCTATCTATTGGCTCAGCAGGAATGTCCCTTCTGGATCCAGGCAGAGATGGTAACTATTATAAATTTGTACTGAAAACAAATAAAATTGGCATCTCTTTACAATCAAATCAGATACAAAGTGCTGCTGTGCCATGCTCAGGGAAAAACAAATGGAAAACCTAACAGGCATGGCACTGCATGAGCCTGAGCTGGATTCTTCAAGGACAAAGACCTTTAAAGTGGTTGGGCAGGTTGCTTGCTAGTGGCCAGATAGCAAAGAGTTCAGGGGTGCAGATCTGAACACCTGGTCTGGTCCATTACATTTTTTGAATCTCTTACTGACAAGTGAAATATTTTATTATTGTATTATTGTTATAAGCATCATCAGCTTGGTAAAACATGTATAAAATTAAATCTTTATGACAGATATGATTGCCACACTTGGTGAAACTACAGGAACATGGGCTCTTCGTTCCATCAAACAGAAAATGGAGGCTGATCCAACTGGTCAAAGGATTCTTCGGTAAGAAAAATATATCTGTTTTTTAAATAAATAATTATTCGAGTTCCTTGAGTAAGGCCAACATCATTCAACCCCGAAATGTTCACTACTTTTGCATATACAATGTACAGGTAAACTTCAGTATATTGACATTGGATATATTGATGTCCATCCACAATCCCTATATAGTTTCCTATATATAAATGATTATTTGCAAGACTCAGATATGTCAATTTAAATAATGTCAACAACCCTACTTATTTTGACATATACTCACAGTCCAAATATCAAAATTTTCTTGGTATATGTCAACAATGGGGCAATATTCTACCTGGGTGGAAGTGTTTGTCTAAGGGTCATTTATTACACTTTGTTGATTCCATATATCTTGATATCGTAAGAAATTCACACACCTCTACAATCCCTGCGTTTTGATCGCACTCTTCTTAATTTTACAATGAACTTGTTTATAAATGAAGCCCAAGCATCATTGCATGTTGATGAGACATTAATTGACCAACAGTTTGTGTTACATGTATATCATTGAGGAATGCACATGCTTTCAAATGCATAAATATATGTTTATTTATATAGAAACCTATGAAAATGGCAACTGATATATATTAAATTACAAACAAATTGGATCAAATAAATTATTTAAGAAATTTCAAAACAACTTATTTTTTGGTTAAAATGCATTCAGTAGATAAAAATCTGGCTATAAACAATAAATGACAAAAATAATAATACATTTGTAACATTACCTGCATAAGTAAGGAATAAACATTTAAAAGAATTGTTTTTACGAGTGTTTTCCTCAAATAAAATAAGAATAACACTGTATTTGATATTTTTTGTCTCTTTGGTGCCTACTTTATACAGTTTGATGTTAATACAGCACATTTAAACAAATGTTACATGACTGCAATTCAATAAATTTAGAAAATTTTTGATATGGAGAAAGAAACATTTTATCATTAAGATATTTTTGTTATTACTTAGGTTATGTATAACAAAATTTGCCATATCATGAAATCTTGGATGTCGAGTCTCAACTCAGATATCTTGACACTCGAAATATCTCAACATTTTCCAAGAGTCTCAATGATTTCAAGATACCAAACTTTACCTGTACCTTCAAAAGTCCACTGTCTGATGCATAATTTTTTTATGAATGTGTTAACATTCTGGTCTCATTGATATTGATATGAGTGAGTTTGACAATTTTTATGGGGGAACGGGGGAGGGAGGTTAATGAAACCATTTTTCAATAAAAAGTATCGAAAAGACAAGCAAAGAACATATACAGTGACATTCATTTTTTTGGTTTATCGATATTCCTTTCAACAAGAAGTTTGGTTTTTTTTATAAAAGTTGAATAACTTTCCATCTCTCCATGTCCAGGGAACAGCCAGTCATTAATACAAATACAGTGTCCATTGACTACCTTGGGAGTTTGCCTGAAGGTACATTTGGAAAAAAATACTGGCATTTCCTAAGCAAAAATGTAAGTTACATCACCAACAAACAACTTGACCATGCATTTCACATCAATTTAATTTTTTTTGCAAAAGTACAAGATTTTCATTTATATCTTGTAGGGTTTTTCTCCAGATGCTAGATTACCAATTCATTTTGTGGATGACCCAGAACTGAAGTATGTCATGTTAAGATATCGACAGGTCCATGACCTTTTCCACTCGATTCTAGGGATGCCCCCTCATATGCTGGGAGAAGTGGCAGTCAAATGGGTGGAAGCCCTACAAACTGGGCTGCCAATGTGTGTTCTGGGCGCTTTGTTTGGACCTCTCAGATTAGGGCCAAAGTAAGTCTGTGCTGTATAAAAGGTCATTAAATTTAGAAATAAAATGTGAATTATTTTCCTTATTACATGTATTGTACATAAAATTTGTGATTTTTTTTTTTAGACACACAAAGAAATATCTTGATACTTATCTCCCCTGGGCAATAAGAAATGGACAGAATGCCAAGTTTCTGATGGCTGTTTACTGGGAAGAGCACTGGGAGGATAATCTAGAGGAACTCAGACAACAGCTAAATATAGAACCTCCTCCAATAACTGCCACAAACAATCCTTAAGTATGCCCCCCATGTTATGAAATAGATTTCTGCAGTTCCAATTGACAGCCACAGCCAACAGTAAAATTGTTCACATTAACAAATCATGGACTGATGAAACAGAAAGGAGTAAAATATCATATTGACTATTGTCTTATTGGTGTGCAACAATTTACAATCCATAGATATGGATGAAAGAATACTTATAAAGATTTCATTTTTTGTGATTTTTTTAAAATTAATTTTCCATGACAATATAATACTAAAAATGATCATGAACAGTAACAAGTTCTTAAAAAAAATAAATACCTTTTCCCGACTGCAGCTTTTGTAAAGGACAACATTGGAATCAAGTCAGATGTTTTTACCCTCATTTAACTGTACCATTATGAAGGGCAGGCATTTATACAAAATTATCTTATAAAACCTCAAGTAATTCATAAAGCTGTAACTTCAGGCTGTTTTGAGATTTATTCATTTTGGTATGCCTAAATTGCAGAAAGTATTTTTCTGTATTTAATTTCATAAAAAATAAAAAACAAATTATTTCTCCTGTATAGATTAATCATATGCAAGATATCAATAATTTGTTTGTTTATTTGTTTTTAATCATTTACTGAAAGCTATCTTCTAGATTGAAGGAATTTAAGAGCTATGTCTTTCAGCAGTGGGAGATATATCCAAGTAAGATATTCATTCTTATCAATTCCCTCATATTTACTTCATATTCTGAAATCCTATCTAAAAATTAAGGACATGTGAGCCTTATATACATACAGGTACCTTGAAATATGTATATCCTTGGATGAATATTGTTACAAACACACCTGCTCCTATGATGTCCTCCAATAGGTATATGAGTAAATGAATACCAAGCTTTAAGATGAATGTTAATTTTTTTTAATTTGATTTACAACATCAAAACAATGATAGTCCAGGTGTTACTTATAAGACATGTACGGAAAAATCACCTGAAATGATACAATTCATACATACTGGTGCCTTTTTTACAAAATAATTATTTTTCTAAAATAAAATGAGTGTCTGAAGGCAGACTATAGTTTGTAATATGATCAAAGACAAACATTACTAGTGTTTGATAATAAAAGATTTTTATACATCAAACACCTAAAATTTTGGTGATATATTTACTACAAGATGTCAAGTTATTACACACATAGTCTGAAATATCTGACATTTTCCAGGCATTTTTCATGATTTTGATATTGGAAATTTCCCCACCGCCAACTGAACCCGATTTTCAATACATGCAAATTGAATTAAATGTCAAACTCACAACTTATCAATAGCATTATGTTTCTTGTTCTCATCAATTTTGCTTAAAAGAAAATATCACTCCATATTTTGATACAGGTCTCATGAGATTTTAAAATGCATGAAATCAGAACGAACCTCGAAAGTTTGATAAAATGTTTTACCAGACACTTAATATTACAAAGAAACAAATAAATAAAGGCAATATTTGTAAGTACTAGAAGCATTGTACTTTTAGTAAGATGTGAGTTAGACATTTAATTCGGTTTGGATGTATCAAAAATTGACCCTAGAATGTGGCCTCTGATTGGAGGCGGCAAATTTCCACTTTTCATAATGGTGCCGGTTCTGACGTTTTTCCTGGCACGTCAAATATCAAAATCTTGAAAAATGCCTGGAAAACATCAGTTATTTTGAACTATTACACACAGTGTACAAGTACTTCTACACATAAATTTACATCATACAATCTGTTGTTATTATGTATTCAACTGAAATGAGTCCAACCTTGTAAAGACATATCTATATTTTAAAACCAGAAAAAAATGTAATCATTGAAAAAATGAAACTCTTGAAGAATAAGAATACACTTGTATGTACGACATGCCTACTATACATGTACATCATGTTATTGTTTGCTATATTTGAACACTAGTTTCTTGTGCTCAGACACGGTCAACAAGCTGCCTCTTTACATCATCTTGTGTTTACACAGGCCTGTATTCTCATCACCTCTGTCTGTTCTGGGCAGCTTCTTTGCGTGCTGCATCTTGTAACAGCTGAGTGTCACATTCATCAGCAGGGAGCTGAACATATCGCACAACAGACCCACGAATAAAACAGTTTTTCACAGATAGCTAAAAAAGTGCAAAATATTATTCTATATTTACATGTTGAAATCATGTATCAGAAAAATAATACTTCTCTTCAAAAAAAAATTCTTATTTTTAAAGTAGGTGTAAAATTTATTCTACTTTATTTAAATAAATTTATTTTGACATATATGTTTCAAAATAATGGCAATATAAGCTTCCATGAAATAATAACTAAAAAGCAATACAAATGGCACACATCACTCACCATATGAGGGTACTTATCTGGATCTGTCACTGTAATGTCTGTCAATTTTATGTTCAGAAACTGGTCTACTGAATGCAGAGTTCCACAAATACTGTAAGATCACAGTTTTAACATGAAAAAATAGTCATTTACATTTGAAGTCAAGTAACAGTCAAAAAGAAGCAAGAAAATAATTTTTATGAGAGATTTATTTTATAAATACAAAATCTCAGTCCATTCAATTTAAGAGCATGGCAACTTATCATTTTTAGTGCTCTCATATTAGATATGAACATTTCTGAAGAGCAGCAAATGACCTCTAAAGATAATTATGTACTTCAGGTATAAAGGAAAGTACTTCAAAAATATTTTTTATATTATCATTGTACACTGTGGTCTTCATTTTGGTAAATCAATCCACCTCTCTCATGAGACTCTCTTACAATTGACAAGAAAATAATATACTGGAAAAGTTGCAATTAAGACTTGACATTTTTCTTTAGTTTATAAATACATGTACTTTATCAACTCTGAAATCATCCAAAAGGGAGTAATATGATATAACTATCTTACTGAAAAACAGCCGTCAAATTTCTTGCTGATATATGATTAAAAAAACTTGCATGAAATTTCATTTAAATCCTCTGTTTTACCAATGAAAGACATAGTTTCAGCTGCATTTAGACAGAAAGGGCAGTGCAGATAATGATGTCTTGTTTGGTGCGCTTGATCTAGATATATTGAACACAAAGTGCACACTTTTTCATAATCAAGTTCAAAGGTGTACACTCTTAGGCATACACCACCTACACCTTATTGGTAAATGCACTAAAATATGCCTAGAAAATGGTGGAGCACCATGCAGGAGCGGTAAAATTTTATTTTTTTTTTTAAAAATTTATGTATTTGGGATTACTGTCTGGTATTTGATAGGTTTATATTGCTATTTATTGTGTGCAGTAATTTAGTCTTGAGTTCAATACATTCTGTGCATGGTCTAAGGAATAAATGAAAATGCTTAGCATTTCATAAATTTACCATCATTAAAACAAGTTTAGTGCCCAAAGTCACTATTTATAGATATGTTGGAGTATGACCAAATATTTAATTTACAAAGTTATTTTCCATTTCAAGAACAGTATTTATTTTTTTTATAGATTTTTTTTTTTAAAGTGTTCACAAATGCAACAAAAAACAAAAAAAAAATCTCTATAAAGGATCTCCTTAGCTGCTATTGCAATTTTGATGTCCATATTGAAAATTAGTTGAAAATACTACATTACATCAAATTGCGGAGCGACTTTACTTTACCGGTCCCCAGAAAAACACACTAAAATATAGTGTCGCCGTAGGCGACTTCAATATATATGAGATCGCGTGAGCAATCGAAGAAAATAAAAAGTATGAGGTTTCAAGCTTTTTTGACCCCAAAATCGAATTCTACGGTTAAAAGTTTAGTTTAAAACTTTGATTTTAAACAAAGTTTTTAACCTCGTTCTCTGGAAAAAGTAATAAATATTGTTTATTCAGTGAAAAGGAGACAAAAAATAATTGTCAACGAAGCCCGTGCTTAGTGCCGTTTCTTTAATTCGTACTTTGCCATTTTTTTCATGTAAACAAACCAACGAGTTGTCGTTGAAGCTGAATTAAGATCTTGCAAAAAATACAGATGCAACTGAATTTCTTAATTAATCTAAAAGAACAAGACACTAACCCTAATCTCTCGGATGGTATGCGAGGACTAACCCAAATCTCCCATGCGGAGCTAGACTAAGCCATGTGCGAGGACTAACCCTAGGCTCTCGGACTGATGTGAGACTAACCCTAATCAGTAGAAAACCTGTGCAAGGACTAACCCTAATCTTTCAGGTGGGTGAAACACTAACCCTAACCAGTCAAAAAATGTGCAAAACTAACCCTAATCAGTTGAGTGACATAAATCTTACGTCATAGTACAATGAGCGCGCGGATCTTGCGGATCTGGGGACTGGTAAAGTAAAGTCTACCCCAAATTGCTATTGATTCTAAGGTATAACTCTGGGTGTATTACAGACAAATCAAGCGTACTCATATGTATAATATTTATTCATGAGATAATCTTACCTCAGATCATTCTTTAATTCAACTACAACATCCTTCCCAACTAGTGATTTGAAAAAGGAATAGAAAAGCTACAATAAAACAACAAAGTTTACATGCCACAAATTCTTTAATTAGTGTCTGAATGTGTATTCAACGGCTTATCATATAGGCCCCTATTCGCTTAAGATGCAAATCAACAGAGAAAATTCAAACCGATTTTCAGTTTTGTTATTTCATTGTTTACAATATAGATATGTCATGACATAGCGTACAACATATGACTTTACTTATCTCCATCAAATTAACACAATGGACTAAAAGCAAGAAAATATATGCCGTTTTACCATTTTTGCGTGCAGCACCGGCTCTTTATATTATGCATCAACTCTCTCTCAAAATTATTCGTACCATCGACGGGCAAAGCATGTCGTACAGTACAAAGTCGGGTTCACCTCGGGGATCGACACAAAACTACTTTGGGATACAGCAGTCAAGATCCCATTGACGCTTTCTAAAAAGTTTGATTGTCATTGTTTTATGTATCTAAAATTATAAACTTTATCGACAAGAAGAATTTCTAAAGAACTTTAAAAAAAAAAAAAAGAAAAAAAAAGAAAAGAAAATCACTTTTTTCCCCCCAAAGTTAGGCCTAGTAACATTCAATCATATGACTTTTTTACACTTTAAACAACCATTCCTCACGATAAATTAAAAACTAGTCTTTTTGATTTCATAGATAACTGCATCTTCAATAAAAATGGAACTTTAAAATTTTCATATCTTGTGATTCATGTGATTGGTCATCAACAAAATAACATCGTGAAAAATCACCGCTCTACTTCTACACACAAGTACTCTGAGGTTGATATTTAAAGGATGCTGGAGTTCATCACTGACAACATCTATGTAGTTTTTGGAGACCAGTCTTCCAATTTACAAACTGTTGGAATTACGATGGGCACATATTGAGCTCCTTTATTTGCCGACCTGTTTTTATAATCCCTTATGAAGCAGAATTTAAAAGTCATCATTTTGTTAATTCTATGGTCGTTAACTTATGATGACATTCTTAACAAATACGTATAACCTATTATTGGGTAGGGTTTTGACAGATATATTCCATTCCAATTGTTAGGCCTTAATTTGGATTGTACTAAACTCGACTAAGAATATTCCGTCCTTATCAATACAAAGGGCTCACGGCGGATGTGACCGGTCGACAGGGGATGCTTACTCGATCCTCCTAGGCACCTGATCCCACCTCTGGAATTTCCAGGGGTCCGTGTTTTGTACCGTATTCAATGACTTGTATTATTTGTAGGTTTTTTTTTTAATCGATAACTGTTCCCTCATCTTCACCTTTTTCATTCTTTAAAGAAATTTTCCTTTTACCGAAATATGTGGAGATAACGAACAGTATTCGAGCTCAAATGTTCATTAAACATTACAAAATAAGAGCAGAGCAAACACGGACCTCTAAAACTTCAGAGGTGGGATCAGGTGCCATAGAGGAGTGAACATCCCCTGCCGACCGGTCACATCCGCCCTGTACTCCTTGTCATGATCGGGAAATAACGGAAAAATCCGTCGACAATTCAGTGTGTAAATAATGGCCTAACAAATAGTATGAAAAAAGTCAGTCAGCATTTGACTTAATGATAGATTGTATTTGCTGACAAGATCATTGTATCGACCACAGAACTCACGAAATGATGACTTTAAACGAGACTGTTGATATTCTTGTTTCATCAACTTGTTTGTCAATAACTTACCTCGTTTTAGAAATTGTTCATACGTAGAGCATGCTCTGGCGTATCGAATAAACTGAGAGAGATAAACCCCGAGAATTTCTTCAAATGTCATTATAATGACATTCACTTTTCTTGTTTCTGAAATAATTTCTTTTATAGTATAATTATTATACTGTGTGTTAAAAATTATTGCAGAAACAAACAAACCTATGGATATTATTCCTCATTTTGCTGCCAGACATTCTTCCTCTATTTTGCATATGGAATTTATTTTTTTTCGTATTTAGAATTAATATATGCTACTTACAATCAAAATAGCGCGAACAGATGCTTCTTTTTATCTTAACTGTTCTTTTAGGATACGCTAAGGTCCACTCCTGGGCTTGCAAGTTTTTCATATATACTAATCAACATCGCCTTTGCAATTCTTGTATATGAAGTATGAAGATAACGAACAGTATTCAATCTCGAAAGTCCAATGAAACGATACAAATTTGGAGCACAGCAAATACGGACCGCAAAATTTAAAGATGGGATCAGGTGCCATATGGAGGAGTGAGCATCCCTGAGCATCGGTCACACCCGCCATGTGCTCCTTGTCATGATAGGGAAAAACGGAAAAATCCGTGGACAGTTCAGTGTATAAATAATGGCCTAACAATTAGTATGAAAAACGTCAGTCAGCATTTGACTCAATGATAGGTTGTATGTGCTGACAAGGTCGTTATATCGACCGTAAAACTTCCGAAATGATGACTTCAAACGAGACTGTTGATATCCTTGTTTCATCAACTTGTTTGTCAATAGCTTGCCTCGTTTTAGAAATTGATCATACCAAGAACATGCTCTTGCGTATCGTATCAACTGAGAGACATAAACCCCATATGCAGGTGATAAGGGTATATTGCTACATAAGTAAGGGAAGTTGACGACTGAAAAGATGAGGTCATCACGTTTATCATACAGCTTTGTCGTTAGGTTACCATTAACGTCTTTTTCTAGTAAAATATCTAAATATGAAACAGATGTGTCAGAATCTGCACTAATAAACTTAACTCATTCAGTACATCAATCAACTCAAATAAAAAGGTTTTACACCAACCAGGTCTTCGAACACTACTTTCCCTGTCCACAGTACTCATTGAAACAAAAACGTTTGCCTCCATAAACCCTACTTTTTTAGCACATGTAGGAAGGAATGTTCAATGTTGTATTTGTTAAAGACGCATGAGAGGCGACAGTATGAACTGCATACATTTATGCTTTGTTTCATTTGCGGGACTTCATTTTCCTCACGTATGTCTTTAAACGATGACATGCGAAACTTCCACTTGGATAAAAAAGTTTCATGTCAAATTTGTGAACTTAAGTTCTACAGAATGATAGACAAACCAATATTTATCAGCAAACTTTGCACGTATTTTTAACAAGAGGCCCATGGGCCACATCGCTCACCTGAGCACATTGGCTTGGCAAAAGTACAAATTAGTTCAGTATTGAAAAAGATTACCGGGGGGGGGGGGGGGTTGAATTTTAAACTACCTGATGATGCTTCCATGCCAATATAACAAATGGCTTTGTTGTACTTGAGATTTTAAAAAAAAATCCCATATATTCCTTTGTAAAAATTTGATCCACCATTGTGGCTCCTCCCTATCCCAGGGGTCATGATTTGAACAAACTTGAATCTACACTACCTGAGGATGCTTCCATATCAATATGACTAAACATAGCTTTTCTGTTCTTGAGAAGAAATATTTTTTCTATATGTTCTTATGTAAAATTTTTGACCCCGCATTGAGGCCCGACCCTATCCCCAGGGGTCATCATTTTAACAAACTTCAATCTACACTACCTGAAAATGCTTCAATATCAAAAGGACTAATCATGGCTTTGCAGTTCTTCAGAAGAAGATATTTTCCTATATATTTCTATTTAATCGTCATTTGTGGCCCCACCCTACCCCCGGGGGTCATGATTTGAACAAAACAGAATCTACCCAACATGCGGATGCTTCCATATAAATATGACTCATCATTGGCTTTGCTGTTCCTGAGAAGAAGATTTTTAAAGGTTTTTCCGATATATTTCTATGTAAAACTTTGATCTTCTATTGTGGCCCCACCCTACCCCCGGGGGTCATGATTTGAACAAAACAGAATCTACCCAACATGCGGATGCTTCCATATTAATATGACCAATCAGGTATTTGCTGTTTCTGAGAAGAAGATTTTTAAAGATTTTTCCTATATATTTCTATGTAAAACTTTGATCTTCTATTGTGGCCCCACCCTACCCCCGGGGGTCATGATTTGAACAAAACAGAATCTACCCAACATGCGGATGCTTCCATATTAATATGACCAATCAGGTATTTGCTGTTTCTGAGAAGAAGATTTTTAAAGATTTTTCCTATATATTTCTATGTAAAACTTTGACAGTCCATTGTGGCCCCGGCTTACTCCCCGGGGTCATGATTAGAAAAAAAAACTTGAATCTACAATACCTGAGGATGCTCCCATATAAATATGACTCATCATGGCTTTGCTGTTCTTGAGAAGAAGATTTTTAAAGATTTTTCCTATAAATTTCTATGTAAAACTTTGATCCATCATTGTGGCCCCGCCCTACCCCCGGGGGTCATGATTTGAACAAACTTGAATTTACACTACCTGAGGATGCTTCCATATAAATATGACTCATCATGGCTTTGCTGTTCTTGAGAAGAAGATTTTTAAAGGTTTTTCCAATATATTTCTATGTAAAACTCTGATCCTCCATTGTGGCCCCGTCCTACCCCCGGGGGGTCATGATTTGAACAAACATGAATTTACACTATCTGAAGATGCTTTCATATAAATATGACTCATAATGGTTTTGCTGTTCTTGAGAAGAAGATTTTTAAAGACTTTTCCTATGTATTTCTATGTAAAAATTTGATCCTCCATTGTGGCTCCGCCCTACCCCCGGGGGTCAAGATTTGAACAAACTTGAATCTGCACTACCTGAGGATGCTTCCACATGAGTTTCATCTTTCCTGGCCCTGTGGTTCTTGAGAAGAAGATTTTTAAAAGATGTTATTAATTTTTCAGTAATTCTTTATTATCTCCCCTTGAAAGAGGGCGTGGCCCTTCATTTGAACAAACTTGAATCCCCTTCACCCACGGATACTGTGTGCCAAGTTTGGTTGAAAATGGCCCAGTAGTTTTGGAGAAGAAGATGAAATTGTGAAAAGTTTACAACAACAACGCCGACGACGACGACAACGACGACAGACAACGGACAAATTTCGATCAGAAGAGCTCACTTGAGCCTTCGGCTCAGGTGAGCTAAAAATGGATCAAAAATACTCTTTGCCATTTACGAACAATTTGAATATACTGGTAATAGAAGAAGATTTGTATGCATAGATTTGCAGCTGTCAAATTACATTTTTCTGATGTTTTTTTTTTTAATTATACCCTTTACCGCAAGAACAAAGGCGAAGTTTTGGATCATGCTTATTTTTCATATGTTGTCTCAAAGAGAGTTTGGACACAAAGAACATGTTACAAAAGTCACATCAATCTTGCATTTGTTCGTGTGCTCCTCCAAATTTGTATAGCAATTACAAAACAAGTCAACCACTGCTTTAAATTGCCGAATCATAAACT